CTGGGAGAGGCAGATGTTGTTGTCTCATGGTGTTAAAGGTCTCGTTGGAGGATTTCAGCTGTTCCAAGTCAAGCTGCCTTCCGCAATTCCACTGATGGCAGCTTTGTCAATGCTTTTGTTGTTATTTTGGCGCATCGGAGAATCAGGCAGATGTTCAGACTGGGTTATTCATGACTTTCTTTTCTCCCAGAGAATATTTAAAAAAAAATTGCCCAAGAGGAGGAAAGGAAGCTTATTGATTAAAAAACATCTAAACAAATCCACATCATCTTCATTCAAAGTGATCCGGTAGCAGCTGACAAGCAAGAATTCTGCACTTGTGTATTTAATTTATAGGGCACTCATCTCCCTGATAAGATGACACTGGGCTTTAAAAAAAAAATCAGACTTAAAAAAAATTGTCCCTGGCGTAGGACATCCTGATGCATATATATGTGGGTATATGCATAATTCTGTATTTATTTATTTATTTTTGTCATATTTATGGAGAGTATATCAGAGGTCATCACCCTTTGAGAGCTATATGCAACGAAATTTCATTTTAATGTATGCCGATTAGTCTACATTCAAAGTGACAATAAAATTATTATTCTATTCTATTCTATTCTATTCTATTCTATTCTATTCTATTCTATTCTATTCTATTCTATTCTATTCTATTCTATTCTATTCTATTCCACTCCACTCCACTCCACTTCATTCCATATATTCTATTCTATTCTATTCTATTCTATTCTATTCTATTCTATTCTATTCTATTCTATTCTATTCTATTCTATTCCACTCCACTCCACTCCACTTCATTCCATATATTCTATTCTATTCTATTCTATTCTATTCTATTCTATTCTATTCTATTCTATTCTATTCTACTCCACTCCATTCCATATTTTCTATTCTATTCTATTCTATTCTATTCTATTCTATTCTATTCTATTCTATTCTATTCTATTCTACTCTACTCTACTCTACTCCACTCCACTCCATATTTTTTATTCTATTCTATTCTATTCTATTCTATTCTATTCTATTCTATTCTATTCTATTCTATTCTATTCTATTCTACTCTACTCCACTCCATTCCATATTTTCTATTCTATTCTATTCTATTCTATTCTATTCTATTCTGTTCTGTTCTGTTCTGTTCTGTTCTGTTCTGTTCTGTTCTATTCTATTCTAGTCTAGTCTAGTCTAGTCTAGTCCACTCTACTCCACTCCATTCCATATTTTCTATTCTATTCTATTCTATTCTATTCTATTCTGTTCTGTTCTGTTCTGTTCTGTTCTACTCTACTCTACTCTACTCTACTCTACTCTACTCTACTCTACTCTACTCTACTCTACTCTACTCCACTCCACTCCATTCCATATTTTCTATTCTATTCTATTCTATTCTATTCTATTCTATTCTATTCTATTCTATTCTATTCTATTCTATTCTATTCTATTCTATTCTATTCTATTCTATTCTATTCTATTCTATTCCATGTTGTCTGCAAGGATTTTTTTTTTTATCAACTGGAAAAAAGAATAAATATATGTGATCATCATCTGGAATTCTAGAGTGTATTCATCTACCCCTTCGATTTCATTGTCACTTTTGTAACATCAGAAAATCTTTGGATAACTTGAGCTGCCCATTTTCTTTCCCAAACGACCTGTTTTGAATCCAACTGTACCATAAAAGTGACCACGTCATGCTTCTCTTGAGACTAACGATTACTTCTTGAATGTATATAATGGGATTGTAAAGTAGGCTTAATTCCGCGAAAGAGGTTATCTTAACCCAGAGTTGCATTAACAGCTCTTGCCCCCTTTTGCTCCTTTTCACTTATTTCATTTTCGCGAACTTTTCTTCTGCTCCACTAATGGCCTAAAAATCATGCTGCCAATGACACTTAAAATTACTTTTTTTGAGGGGGGGGGGGGAGAAAGGGAGCAAAAAGTGAGCATTTTCAAGATTTGCACTGAAAAAAAAAAAGCATTATTTTGCAAAGGTGTTTTCAAATCTGCAGCGTTCGTTTAAACCAGTGTTTCTCAACCTTGACAATTTTAAGGCATGTGGACGTCAGCTCCCAGAATTCCACAGCCAGCAATGCTGGCTGTGGAATTCTGGGAGTTGAAGTCCACATGCCTTAAAATTGTCAAGGTTGAGAAACACTGGTTTAAAAGATTGAAGACTGTGTTAAATTTCCATGTAGGACTTGGCAAGACTTCTGGACTTCCATTCCCAGCATGACTGGTTTGAGGTATTCTGGAAGTTGAAGCCCACGAGTCTTAAAGTTGCCAAGTCTGGAGACCGCTGATTTGGATATGAGTATTTTTCTGTGGGGAAAAACATGGGGACAGATTTATTAGGGGATCCGACTTCTAGTAACTTCTAACCACAGGTGCAAAAAAATCTCCTCAGGGTTCTCTTTCCTTTCAGTAGACATGTTTCCACAAGGATTTTTTTAAAAAAAACAACTAACAAAATTACAAAAGAAACACAAGAAGGTGTGCAGAAAAAAATAATGATGAAATGAGACCAAACACTTAGCACAATAACAGTCTTTTAAATTCACTTCAGAATGATAAACAGCCCATTTGTATAAGACATATCTGTACAGAAATAAGGCAATCATCTCAAACTCAACTCCCAAGGATCTCAAAAACAGCCCCCATGCTGGTTTCTTAGGAAAAATACATAAGCGGTCTAACCACTGCCTTTTCTAGGATGGGTATTTCTCCAATTGGATGCTACTACAACTGTTCTAGTCCTCATGCATTAGACCAAGGCTCAACAATTTGTCCAACTTTACTGTTTACGATTTGTGGACTTCAACTCCCAGAATTTATTTAGGGAGGTTCTCAGTCATCCAAGTCATGGTTGTCGCAAAGGTGCTTCCCCCCCCCCCAAAACAACAACTGGGCTTTGTTTTTCTTGAAGACGTTTCACTTCTCATATAAGGTATTTCTTCAGATCAGAACTTGGATGAGAAACGCAACGTCTTCCAGGAAAAACAAAGTCCAGTTGCCTTTTGAAAAAACACCTTTGGAACTTCCACGACTGGCTGAGGAATTCTGGGAGTTGAAGTCCATAAGTGTTGAAGCTGCCAAGGATGGAGACTTGGCAACTTGAAGACTTCAACTCCAGTTCTGAGAGTTGAAGTCCACAGTGGTCATGTTTGGAGACCCCTGCATTAGAAGACAACAGATGCTGATAATTCTTCATTAAAGGTCTACGTGGCACAGGATTGGGGTATTGGCAAGGACGCTTGGCCTCCAGTGATATCTGCCCATCCCATGTGCTCTAATAGGGTGGGAATTCTTGGGGACACTTCCTTGAAGCAACACTACCGATGGGGCTCAGAAGACCTCTTCAATGGAACTCCTGTCCTCTGGAATGGTCTTCTTTGCTTTTACTTCAGCAAGGGATGATTTTTCATTTGGATTTGGGGGAAGAGAGGACTGGAGCTTCGTTCGCTGTCTGGAGCCCCAGCGTCTTGAGTTGGGCGACCATATCACATCAATCAATCAATAAATAAGATGGGACGACAAGAGGACAAAACGAGGCAACTTTTTTCAATGGAAAACACTCTTGAAAAGAGTGTCACAGGTAGCCCTTGACTTGCAACCATTCGTTTAGTGACCATTTCAGCCCTGAAAAAAGTGACATTGGACCGTTTTTCACACTTGACGGCCGTTGCAGCATTGCAGCATCCCCACGGTCACGTGATCAACGTTTAGATGCTTGGCAACTGGCATGTATTTATGACCAATACAGTGTCTGGTCATGTGATCACCTTTGGTAGGGGTCCCCAATTCCTGGGCCATGGCCTATTCCAGGGGTCCTCAAAGTTGGCCACTTTAAGACTTGACCTCAACTCCCAGGATTCCCTAGGCAGCCATGCTTGTGGACTTCAACTCCCAGGATTCCCCAGGCATTCATGCTTGTGGACCTCGACTTCCAGGATTCCCCAGGCAGCCATGCTTGTGGACTTCAACTCCCAGGATTCCCTAGCCAGCCATGCTTGTGGACTTCAACTCCCAGGATTCCCCAGGCAGCCAAGCTTGTGGACTTCAACTCCCAGGATTCCCCAGCTAGCCATGCTTGTGGACGTCAACTTCCAGGATTCCCTAGCCAGCCATGGCTGGCTGGGGAATCCTGGGATTTGAAGTCCACAAGTCTTAAGTGGCCAAGTCTGAGAACCCCTGACCTATTTGGAAAAGCTGCATGAGTGGCAGACCAGCGTTCCTGCACGCATGCAGAGCTTAACTTGTGCGAGTGGAGGGCCGGCGTGCATGCACATGGGCGTAAAGCTCAGCTTGCACAAGTCGAGTTGCGCACGCATGTGGGTGCGGTGGCCCACTGCCTGCGCAAACCTAATTGTGTGTGTGCGCGCATGTGTCCACCAGCCTGCTGCTCACACAGCCTGACTCCCCTTTCCCTTGCCCCAGCCGGGCCGTCAGACCACCAAGATCGGGGATCGCTGACCTTTGGTGAATTTCTGACAAGCACAGTCAATTCACTTAAAACCAGGCTGCAGACTCCCTACGGTCACGTGATCGAAATTCAGACAGTTGGCAACTGACTCAAGATTTTTACGACGGTTGCAAAGTCCTGGGGTCAGGCGTTCAACTTTTAGGACCTTCTGACAAGCAAAATCAAGGGGAGAAGCCAGTTTCACTTAACAAGGTTAACAACTTGTTAACAACTGCAGTAATTCACTTAACAAGGTTATAAAATGGGGCAAAACGAGACAGTGAACAACTATCTAACTTAGCAACAAAAAATCGGGGTTATGTTATTGTTGTAAGTCAAGGACTACCTCTACACTTTTTTCCCCCATTTTTTCCCAGTTGGGCCCTCTCTTTTCTGTTACATCGTAAGGTGTCCAGGGACAACAAAACCCACACTGAACTGCTTTCTTTTTGACATGAAATACCACAGGGGACCTGAACCACAGTTGACTGACACAAGATGAACAGGCCATTAATAAGGGTTTGAAAAAACTTACTCCACATAATAAGTGCCATAAATGGGATCGTCAATTTTCTCCCAGCCGTAGGGCAATTCTGGAAAAGAAAAGGAAGAGGAAGGCTTGTCAAGACATAGAGCAAAGGATGCCATCATTCCTACAAAAATAAAATAAAAAAAAGGATAGAGAATTGTCGTCAACAGGAGAGGAACATTAAACCTAAAGCTCAGGAACCAATGGCAAATTTTAGATGTGCACCTCGGAAGGGAAAATGACTTTGCCGTGAAATGTGCAAGAAACTGACTGGTAACTGCCAGGGAAAAATAAATAGGTTTGGTTGTCTCTGCCCCAGACAGAAGTGGTTAATTTGGGAGTCTCTTGTCCGTGGAAATTGGGAAAGCCTTTGTCACTTTAGTAGGATAATAGCCCGCTTGTACAACACTGGTCTTCTCAGAAATAAGATTGATCCAATCTTAGACATATAGGTAGTCCTCAACTTACAACACTTCACTTGGTGATCGTTCAAAGTTACAACAGCACTGAAAAATTATGATTGTTTCTCGCACTTATGACCACTGCAGCATCCCCATGGTTACATGTTTAAAATCCAGACGCTTGGCAACTGACTCAAGATATTTATGACAGTCCCAGTGTCCCGGGATCATGTGATCCCTTTTTATGACCTTCTGACAAGCAAAATCAATGGGGAAGCCAGATTCACTTCACAGTTGTATTACTGACTTAACAACTGCACTGAACTCTTTATAGCTTTTCAGCTTCTTCGCTGGATGCCTTATTCACAACAATTCTGAAATCAACAACAAGATTTATTTATTTTGTTAAATTTATTTGCTGCTTATCTAACCACTGAGCTACTGTTATTCCTTCCTTCCTTCCTTCCTTCCTTCCTTCCTTCCTTCCTTCCTTCCTTCCTTCCTTCCTTCCTTCCTCTCTCTCTCTTTCTTTCTCTTTCCTTCCTTCCCTCCCTCCCTCCCTTCCTCCCTCCTTCTTTTCTTTCTTTCTTTCTTTCTTTCTTTCTTTCTTTCTTTCTTTCTTTCTTTCTTTCTTCCTTCTTTCTTTTTTCTTTCTTTCTTTCTCTTTCCTTCCTTCCTTCCTTCCTTCCTTCCTTCCTTCCTTCCTTCTCTCTCTCTTTCTTTCTCTTTCCTTCCTTCCCTCCCTCCCTCCCTTCCTCCCTCCTTCTTTTCTTTCTTTCTTTCTTTCTTTCTTTCTTTCTTTCTTTCTTTCTTTCTTTCTTTTTTCTCTTTCTTTCTCTCTTCCTTCCTTCCTTCCTTCCTTCCTTCCTTCCTTCCTTCCTTCCTTCCTTCCTTCCTTCCTTCCTTCCTTCCTTCCCTCCCTCCCTCCCTCCCTCCTTCTATTTAATGACTCCTAGAAGAGCCTCATATCGAAACACTAATTTAATATTTCAACTTTAATGTAATAGCTTCACCTGAGTTTCATTGGGCTCCACAACTAAACATTGCATTCCAATTATATTTGATTAAAGGAATATTACTACTGATTTTAAATTGTTTTTTT